AAGTCATAAGTTTTAAATGCTTTGTAGTTTAATCCATACTAATATTATAAAGACAAAATATTTGATTGTGTGCTATTAAACCGATTAATCGATTTAAAAAATATTTCATAGTTGGAAAGCTCCATACGGACGAAATCGTGGCCAATTAGTAATAAATTAACAAGCAAAAATGTTGCAAATTCATGTCAGTTTCAAATTTACTGTTTTCTAAAAAAAAGTACGTCAATAATTAAATCATTAAATAGTTACATATATCTACAAAAAAAAATTAAGATATTTAAATCTGAGTGCTGTTTCTGATGAAATTAAAAAAAATGCTGGTCATATGTCAACGAACCTATAATATATGCTCTTACAGTTTTCATTACCTTATAAAGTTTTATAGAAACAATTGAATGAGACCTATACTGGACAGAGATTTTTGTAATTTCATTGAAGTTATTAAGAGCCGGGTTCATGTTGAATCGTGGTTTAGGTCGGGCATTGCCTTAACATGATTGCTACTAGCGAAATAGGTAAACTGATGGGAAGGTAACATTTCTTTGCCATAGTGATTGCCATTTCCTTGCCTAACAAGATATTTTCATTAACCAAGCTTTAAACAAATGTAAGTTATCATACAAGGGTTAGAAAAGTCAATGTAAATCGCTTAACATTCCTACAAAAGAATTTTCAGAATTAATCGATAAAGAAAATTCGATCTACAATAGTAATCGATTGTTATCGATTGTGGCACAACACTAGTGGCGTGATATCCGAGGGCCGGCCGTGTGTCATTACAGGATGCGTCATTAGGTAATGGTCGCGGATTGCACGTCGCCGACTAAACGGCGATAAACGGCGCGCCGACAGCCCCCGGCCTATTACGAATTTATGGCTGGACACAGTCGCCACACAACGGCGGCCGCACAGGACTTAATGTCTGGCCAAATTGCATGGAAGCGTTCCGTAGAAACTCAATCGTGTCTGTGTTATTGCTTCAAAGCTTTGCTATTTAAGTAAGTGTATAGATGAGAATTGAAACGATTTATTCACATCTTACTAATATTATAAATGCGAAAGTTTAGATGGCTGGATGGATGTTTGTTAGAGTTTGTAGCATAAAGGACTGAACGTATGTCGATGAAATTTGGCATAGACGGAGATGATAGTGTTGACGAACACATAGGCTACTCAATTTTGAGTCTTTTAGTTCCATGCGGACGGAGTTGCGGGCAAAAGCTAGTAAGTTATCTTTTATTTATCGCTCTGACTAAACGACAGCATCCCCATAGCAACCCCTTATTTTACAATCAAAGAGTATCAAAATTGTACAACATGACAAATTAAAAAGCTTATCAAGGAATGTAACAATATGTTCATTGTTGTCCACACATTTATTGTTTTAGCGAGCGAGTGAAAATCTAATTTACTATTTCAGATTAAAACGATGACTAGATTGAAATTTCCCAATCCTAAGTAGATATTCTTAAGTTAATACGCACTAAACATCAATGGAAAAGTTTACAAACATTATGCAACTTAGTTTTGCGAACCTAATTCTAAAAATAAACTAAACAAAAACTAACTCAATTAAAACTATCAAAACTCATAAAACCGAATTTGGCGGTGTCCGGAAATTAGTACGTTGGGAAACAAGCAAACACATAGGGCAGATAAGTCGTAAAAAGTATCAATTTTAGTCGGCGGTGGACGTAATGAATGGGCGTGCGCGGCGCCGCGCTGGCAGTGACTTGCATACTGAGGACCGGCGGCTGCGGCGGCTGCG